CAGCCTGTTGAATCTGGCGCATTATAAAGTGGGTATTCCGCATGGTCGCGGGGTCAACGAGATTGGTGTGGACAGTCTGAACGTCAGTGTTGCAGCCTCTATCCTCTGCTACGAGATGCTGCAGAGGCCAAAGGCGCAGCCGAAGCGTGATGCAGAAGAGGCTCTCTTCTAGATGCTTTCTGTGCCCATGAATTGAGAGGCCAGCGGCTTGTAGCACGCAGGTTTTGTCTATCAGGGTCTCAACTAATGTTGTGATCGGGGGTCATCGAGTAGGGGGGACGTTGGCGTGGGAATGCTTGGCGGACGAGTGAGGAAGGAGCGGCCGTCGGCGAGATGCATGGTTATCAATACATACGATATGCGCTGACTGCGACATGGCCCAATACGCGAGGCGAGGCTCGCTTACAGCAGCAGGGTAATATGGATGGGCTGGCGAGGGCGCAAGAGACGAGACGTGATTGGAATCGGAGAGGTTGAGCAGCAACGGCCTTGGCCAGCGAGATTCACGAGGGCACTCAACAAGCGCGAGGCCATGATCAACACAGCGCCCGCCCCACTGGTTTACCGGTGCAGACATGGTCATCGGTGGACATGTCTGGACGTGTGACCAAGTTTCTTATCTCTCAAGGCCAAACTGGGCCCAGGTGCAACCAATTAACCACACCAGGAGTGGTGTGTGCAAAGTTTTTTGCAGGGCCGCAAGTGAAGCTGGCAAGGCAACGAACGGGCAGTGCTGGTTACGGGCTGAGGGTGCATCGGCGATCGGAGGATTCAGCATCGAGTTTGACACCGCCATTTGACAATGCGATGGTTGCAGCATGTCACCGCGGAGGACATTCCTGTATGCGCGACAGGGGCGGGGGGAGGGACAAGATGGCCTGTGGTGGAATGGTAGGCGAGCAGAGCAGAGCAGCTTGGTTGGCTGGCTGGTGGTGCCTCCATGGCGTGACTGGGGCCGTGGGCGGCAGACAATGGTGGTACTGTATATGTACTATGTATGTGTGGAGGTGTAAGTGGTGTAGTTGCATATATTAGTGTACATACAGGGTAAGGTGTAGGTAGTATAGTATAGTGTGTGTGTGTATGTGTGCATGCGTATGCAATCAAGTTGGGCCTTGCATTTGCTTCTTTTCTTTTTGTTGCGCCGCGTCGGGGGGTGGAGCGGGGCAGGACAAGACAAGACAAGGCAAGGCAGGGCAGGCCGAATGGCGTCCCCCTGTCGTCATGGCAAGAATCAATCGTGGTGCTAGCGCGACAACGACAAAAGCCCTGCTCTGATCACTCATGGCTCGTTTCAACCCTCCATGATCGGTGCCGTCATCATCATCATTATGCTGTGCTTCGCCCTCGTCCTCCTCTAGGCCCCCGGCTTCATCCGTCCTCTGCGCCTTCCCCCGCATCCTCTGCACGCGCCGTACCCACGCCGCTACTACGCTTGCAACCCTTTTGCTTTGGTCTCTTGTCTGCGCTTTTTATCCTCTACTTCAAATCGCGCACTCCCGCTCCCACTCTCGCCTGCCCTTAAGGCCCCCGCCGCGAGCCCTCAACGCCACACCCTCCCTCGACTCCTCCACACATCCACGACCACCATGACGCGAAGAACAGTCTACGCCGCCGGCCTCGTCCTCACCTTGGCCTGTATGCACCACACTCCCCATCTTGAAATGCGTTTCCCACATACTGACATGTCTCAGGCACCATCATGACCATTGCTAGTATCTCGATGCCGCGCTGGGTCAGTTACAGCCCCAACGGCGAGCGCGAATACTCCTATGGCCTCCACACTCGCTGCTCTGCCATCACCGGCACCTGTGTTTCCTTTCCCAAGTCGAGCGACTGCACAAAAGATCCCTCCTTTTGCAACATGTGGCGCACTGTTGGCTTCCTGACCTCCTTCGGTGTTGTCGTTGAGCTTTGCGCCATCGTCGCTTTTGTCGTCATCATTTCTGGTGGTGTCCAGCGCAGGGCCGCTGGCTGGCAAGTTGCTGTCGGTGTCTTGTCCTTTAGTGCCATTGTGCAGTGCGCTGGCATGGCTATAGTGGTATGTTTCTTTTTGCCTCAAGACGCTAAACACACCACCTAACAACACTTGCCAGGCTTTCCTCTTTGACCATGACGATCGCTTCTGGAACGGCTGGCATCTCGATCTCTCCTGGTCTCTCTGCACTGCCAGCTGGACCATCCTCATCCTGACATCGATTGGCATTGCCGCTTCCGCCTTCTACCTGCCTGCCGAGGGCGACTACGAACTTATTCCCGAAGACTATTACGGTCCTCCAGACGATCGGTGAGCGCTCTCGCTTCCCATGGCCATAACATGTGCGCATGTGGACTGTTTTAATTGTGGGTTAGGCTTCTTTCGCGCATTTCGGCTTGGGACAACGGTTTCAAGGGCCCAGACTCCGGGATGCAGTACAGCTATCAGCGGGATCAGGATAGCATGAGTGACGTTGTTAGCATCGCCGCCAGTAGCATTGCTGCAAGCCACAGACGGGAAAGTGATGTCAGGAAATAAACAAACAGATGCAGCATGAGGGCCGCGGTACACCTACGAGCGACGCATACCATGACCCGCGATATACATAATGTGGATGGAACTGGTGTTTGGGAGACGGAGGCATCTTTTTTACCTTTTGGCGTCAATTTGACAGCATGGCGGAATTATGTGGCGTGGATTGTTATTGATTTCGACGATACCCCTGCCATCCACTGGTGGTTGGGCAGTGTAACTTTTGGCTGAAGTTGATGTAATTACCCAGAATTCGAGAATTGAAGCAATACCAACTGATTTCCCAGTGGTGGTTGCCAGTGACCAGGATTGACCCGACCCCAAAGAAAGCTATCAACGGACAATGCAGGTCTCGTTTAATTAATAAATCGAGCATTGACGAGTAAGCAGATGCATGCACGAGGTGAACGCACATATGTACATATTAATTTTGCGGGGATGGAACCACTTTAGCGCCACCATAGGGCTGGCCTTAGCGAAGTGCTCGCACATCTCCAATTCGCGACAACGACGACAGCGTCAAACTCGACAATCGCGTAACAGAATGTAAGAAACTGCCCTGCGCCTGCCTGAAATTCGTCACTTTCAATGATGGTCTGAACTAACAGTTTCAGCAGAATCTCATAAAATCCGCAATTTCACACACACACACACACACACACACACAATGGCCGACCAAAAGGCACTAAAGTACTATCCTGCTGAGGAGGAGGCGCAGATGAAGAAGGTATGTGGAATTTCTTGCAGGTAAAATCGTGGTATCTGGCAAGACGAACAAGAAGTAGAGACAAGAAAACAGCCAATTGCACCGGAAACAGGCGCGCAAAACTACATAAACTAACACCATCTAACTACAGGCGCGCAAAACCGCACACCCGACCAAATACCGCGACTCACTCACCCCCGGAACCGTCTTGATCCTCCTCTCGGGCCGCTTCCGTGGCAAGCGCGTCGTTCTCCTGCGCCAACTCGAGCAGGGCATCCTCCTCATCACCGGCCCCTTCAAATCCAACGGTGTCCCTCTGCGCCGCGTAAACCACCGCTACGTCATTGCCACCTCGACCGTCGTTGACATCTCCGCCGTAGACGCCGACGTCATTTCGCGTGTATCCAAGGACGAGTACTGGGCGCGTGAGAAGAAGGACGAAGATGACTTCTTCAAGGAGGGCAGTGAGACGCCTACCAAGAAGGAAGTGGATCCCCAGCGGATTGAGGATCAGAAGGCTGTGGATAAGAGTATCATGGCTAGTATTAAGAAGACTCCTGATCTGGAGGCTTACCTGAGCGCGAGCTTCAGCCTCCGGGGCAACGAGAGGCCGCATGAGATGGTTTTCTAAAGGGGAAGTAAAGGGACTGTAATGAGATGACGACGATATGTGGTTCTGGGGGTATGGATTTGAAGAAAGGACAAAAGTTCGGGTTGGCCTTTTTACCTGAAAAAAAAGAGTATGTGCGATTTGAAACTGGGAGTATGGGAGGGAAAAAAGTTATTATGAGGATGTAGGGCACGACTGAATGCCTTGTTCGGCTGCACGTAACGGCACAGAGGCGCGGTTTCATATGTATATGAGATACCCATGAAATAAAACTACATGAATACAGATACAAAAACGATACGCTGCACATCCTTTCAACATGATTTCGTAAGAATCCAGTGTTACTAAACTGACCCACTCTCAAGTCCAAAATATCCATTTTGCTATTTACACGACTCAAAAAGTAGTAAGGAAAACTTCTCCAGCCAATTCAAACAGTAACACGACTCTCCAGCGCCTTCTCAACCGTAACCTCGGTCTCCCCATCATACTACCTCAACGCCTCCCTCACCTCGGGCAGCCTCCTACAGCATAACCTCCCTAATCCTCTACGACCTCGGTACAAACCTCACCTTGAACGACTCAAGCCGCATATTCTCGTTCTTAGTATATGCAAAAGATATCAAGCTTGACTTGATCCCCGTAGTTCCGAAATTTTCCATGTTAGTTACTTTATTCTACACGCTAAAGGCAAAAGAAGGGGAAGGGAGAGAGAGAGAGATGGGGGAGGAGATTTCTTACATCCCCATCTCAAACCCCCAAATCCATTCTCGCAATCGAATACAGCAACCCCTTTCTCCACAAGTGATTGTCGGCTACAACGCTGCCTTTACCCCCCATCCAAAACGGGGTTCATACCGTAGTTATTCAAATACGGCATCTTCGCACTGTGCTCACCGTCTGGAAACTTTTCTGGGGACAAAGGTATCTGGGTCCGGGGAAGTAGCGTGGGTAGGCGGTGCATGGCCTAGAGGTTTGGGCGGTGCAAGTTTGTGCAAGCGGGAGAAGTGGTAGTTGTTGTTGTTGTTGTTGTTGTTGACGGGGTTGACGTTGGAGTGGAGGAGGCCTGCCAGGGCGGTGACGGTGTGCTAGCGGAGGGTTGCTTTGACAAGGGCGACGAGGTGAGAGTAGCGTGGCATTGTTGCGGATCCCGAACGGAGTTTGGACGGGAGTTCTTAGAGCCATGCTACGGCGTGGAGGAGCAAGGGGATTGCTTTCATGATGAATACGCCGGGTATCGCATAGTCTACGGCTTCCATAAAGGCCAGTGCCAGCTGTGCAACGTAATTATTCTTTCGGTCGATGCGTCGTCCCCAGCCGATGATGGATGCTACAGAGACTAAGTAACGTTCAATCGGCAGTTCAAAGTCGTTTGGATCGAGGAAAAGGTCACGGATCAGAAGTGCCGATTCAGCCGCTTGGAAATCACGACAGTTTCGAACTGCTTGACTACCGACTACGGTATGCTGAGTTGTTTCACATCAACCTCCTTTACACAGTGGCTTAACAATGATTCACGGATACAAATTTACCATAAGCCTCCTATGCAATCTCCACCTATCCCCATATTCCAAATTCGTCAGACTAGTCTCGCTCGCATTGATTGCATCGCCCATGACAAGAAATCTCGGGCGACTTGAGAAGATACCTGATCGCTTCTCCAGCAGGTCCGATGCAACCCATGTATCGCTCAGAATGATACGCGGCGAATGGCCAATCCACAGCGTCATCATTGGGGAGTCATAATACCTTGCTCATTGCTCCCATGCTATCCATGGCTTGACGGAAGGCGTCTGGAAGTGTTTTCCTACGATAGACCAGGGGAGTGGTCCGGGAGAGAGGCGACGCCGCTGCCAGAGCATGTAGCCATAGTCGAGTACGAGTGTAAGGAAGGTAGCTAATATCAAAATCTGGATTGTTCTTGATTTTTTTTTCAAGCCAAATTGAAACTTGAATTGTATAGCCCCTGTAAGAAAAAAGTGCAGTCTTAGTACTACCTATATGTTACATCAAAGACATCTTGAACAGATGGCTCCACAGCCAAGCACAACCTCAGCATGTAGGGGATGCACAAGAAGGGCCGCTCCCGGCTTCCGCATTATGAAGCAGCTGAGAATGGAGGATTGGGGAAAAGAAGGCGGGGTTTGGTGGGGTAGGTTGTGGGGAACTGATGCTTGAACGTGAGTCGGCGCACCTACTACTTCGCTGTACGTACGTACTCGCCCTCTATGAGAACACAGTAGTAGCGCCCTACAAAACGGTGTATACTACTCGAGGCCCACATGATTTCTAAAATTTGGAGTATTTGTACGCTCTATATATGACTTTATACCCCCAAGTAATAGGGTATACATCATATGTACTTCGATCGTAAATCACATTGGCTGAGACATCTTCTCTTGCAAGGGTAACCAAGAGTGAAGTCGTGTAAAGTGAGCACGTGCAAGGAAAGTCACGGTAGTTACGAGGCTAGCTCAAGAAACTTTAGGTCGTATTAAGAGAATGTACTTATCGCTCTATGCTTTCAATGAATGTACCCATTGCTCTACGCTTTTAAAGGAATGTAATTACCACTCTACGCTTTTAAGGAATGTTATTACCGGTCAAGTCTATCCGCATTCGTCATGAATTATTACCAACAGAGTTCCAGCTCCTGCTCTCATCTTGACATTATACCAATCATTCATTTTGAGTGCCATGGCCATCATCCTAGACAAACACCCTGGTAACGTTGACCGCGACACAGCTCGGGTTGTCGGGCTTGCCTGAACCCAAGTTCCAGGCAAGGTTCTTGTAGTTGTAGCTACCGTAGAAAGTCTCGCATGCGTACCAGCGGTAGAATTGCTCGTAGTTGCCCGTGCCATTGCTGCCGCGAACGTAGGCTTGGATAGTCAAATCGTCTTGGGAATCGAACGTGACCAGTGTGGGATTGTCGCTGCCTGGGCTGATGATGGGGACGGCCAGGGAAGAGATGGGGTCATATTGAAACGCGGCCGAAGATGGAACATTGAAGGCGTTAGTCGGGAGTATCCACGTCAGGATGCCGGGAACGCCAAGTGATTCATCTGGTGCAGCAGAGTAGATGGAGGTGTTGAAGTAGAACTCTGCACCAGGGATAGGGGTAGGACTGCTGCCAAAGTTGCCGTTGCTAAGGCAGAGTGACTCCAGAGCTGCACCGACGTGGCAGGCACTCAGTGTATCGTTAACTTCTCCATCTTCGGATTGTACAACAAGGTGAAAAGGCTTGGAAGTGATGTTGTAGAACGGTTCCGAGGCTTGTGAGCAGTCTTGTGCGCTGGCAATAGCAGCCACGGCAAGAGACAAAAGGATCGAGGGAGCCTTCATGTTATTATGAATAGACCAAGGTCGTAGTTTGTATTGGCTAATGTCGGAATTGATTGTGTGGGTTTTGCTCGAGTAAGCTGGGGATGTAGGGGATGTTGGTGATGTTGGTGAGGCTGCAATGTTCCGGGCAGGATGACGAACTTTATATTGACGGTCATCCTTTGTGAGTTCTAAATAAGGACGGACTCAACGTCACTTTCTAGATTAGGTTCCACGGTGCATAACGGCCACATGTGTGGCGGAAATAGCAGTCAGCACGCAAGCCATTAACGTTCGGTTAGCCGGTGATGCCGGTGGTGCCACACCCACATTACCCCTCCAGACTGTTGTATCTGGGCACCGATTGTTCCAATACAACTAGAGCACGTTGCAACCGGATCAGGACAATCATAACTGATGCGACCGCGTTAGCGAGCGAGGCCCCCCAGCCGCGGTAAGCTCTGTATAGTGCGATGGTGCAGCCTCGTTCGTGTCTGCAGCATGGGATCTGCTGCAACTACAAAATCAATAGTTCAGAACCAGCCCTGCATGGAGAAAATAAGCAATTTCGTCGAGAGACTGTTGGTCAACTGGCGATGGGTGGGATATGGAGGGTGGTGGAGGTACTGAGTTTGGTGATGATTCAGCTGGTACGAGATGAATGTAACGATTGCGTGCAGTGTGCTGATGCTTCAATACTCTCATGCAATACATTCCTGATGATTGCAACGTTGGATACAAGGCTTTGGAGCGTACAAGGGAGCACAAGGACACCTCGCAACCATGCGAGATGGTGAATGACGCAACAAGACTGGTATAGGCTGGTCTGGCCGCAATTAACAGGCTGATGCGCTAACCCAGACTTCGGCTCGTCACGCTCGGTGCGCGTCTCGTGACCTGCCCGCACTAGCACCACCACCTAGCATGGCGGACGCAAGGTTCGACGATCTCCAGCTTTTCCCTTTGGACGATCCGCTTATGCTCTGAAACGCTCGGCTGGCCCGACACTGACCTTGCAAAGACCGTGCGCTTCTCTCGCAAGAACAAATAAAAGTATTGCAACATCGCTCAAGAAAGTAGTAGAAGTGCGTTGTAAGTACTACTAAGATGCATATGCAAGGTACGGGATGATGCAGTAGTCCAACCGACAAATGCCAGCGTGAGAACGTCACCAATGCATATGTCAACTTTACCTCTTCGTCAAATGATTACATGCACCTTCATTCACTCTCACAGCAAGATGTGACACTTCATACAATCAAACTTAAATCCGGGTCGTCCATGACACTACACACTGGTGTCTGACTGCGCCATCTTACTGTATTTTCACCACAGGACATTTTCCTGTTGAGCAAATCTGAACCATGTCAGATACCAGCATATCCAAGCAAGTCCGCGGAAAGTGCCATCAACTCTGACCCTGCTCACAGCCGGGTGCTCAAAAAAGCGTGCTGAGTCTGCGCTTGGCCCCTATAGCTGTAAGCTGTCGCAGTTGTCCGTACTAGCATCGTTCCAGCGCCGCCTAATAAGAGTAGCGCCTACATGCAGTTGTAGGTATTATCTGCGAATCCAATATCTTCTTACAAGTACTTCGCTGACTAACTGCAACTTATACACCCAGGTACAAGTATGGTTAGCGCCATGTCGTATACCTTAGTGTGCTAGTACCGTTATGCCAACTACATGGCATATGCCGCCTTATTGTCTATCTCTTTACTCCAGACACGGGCCAAGAACCAGTGTAAGGAAGAAGACCTGAAGCGACCACCAATATCTAATATTCCGTCTTATAATGGTCATCTCCCAAACTCCTTCAAATGGACTCATTGTCTTTCAACTACAAGCGAAGGGAGTTTGGAGTGGCCCCGCCACGTGAACTACACTTGGTAATTCTCTTTGAAGTAGCCAAACATATCCATGTGTATTGTAGTAAGTGGTAGGCAAGCTGCTCAAACGAACAAGCTAATAAATAGTCGGGCAGTTTTCTTGGCCGGGGTTGGTGATGCATTTAGCGCGGTGGGACAGCGTACCCGCGAGTCCCGTATTCCGGGCGGGGTCGTGGTGAAACCATGTCCAGGAATGTTGAGCCGCTCTGGCACACCCTTTGTTCACTCTTTAGCCTTGTTGAACTGGAAAGGAACGTGTCCGACGAAGATGAAAGGATCTGCTGCTTTGCCGACTAGTAGGTGAAATGATCACCAGCCAGCACTCTCGGGAAGGAAACAAGCACGATGCAAGTCGCTTGTTGTACCAATGACCCGGTGGCTTATGCAGGGATAGCCACTCCCCACAGCACGTGCCGGCCTGCCAAGGCGCCAGCAAGATCGTCGTCATATGTTGCTAGTCGTCACCTTTCGTCGAAGATTCTGGTTTCTCGTCTTGCTACAAAAAATCCCGCCCACGCCATTTTTTACAATCAATCCAGTGCTGCTGCAAATACTGATAATCTGCTGCTTGACGCTGCAGCTGCTCAGCCCCTCAAAATTTGGTCATGACACGCACACGGACCATTTAAGCTTTGCAAACCCTTTCATTGGCTACTGTTTCATCAAGTGCACCTCACCGCCAGATTTAAGCAGCCCACGCACATCTTTTATAACACTCCCAGAACCTACATTCCGTCTGCCCCGTCACTGCTGTGTTCATTCAAAACCCATCTGCCATGACTGACACACCCCAGACGACTGCGGGCGCCAACCCGCACGAGGCAAAGGTGCTCGAGCAACATCTGGACCCCAGCTACGACTTTTCGGAATTCGATCCAGCAACACCAGTACAGGATGAGGGCCAAGGAAGCTCTTCCAACTCTACCGACCGTCAGATGCCAGAATCCTCGTTGCGCCTACAGGGTGGCGACATCCACCGTGACCTGTACAAGATTGCGGCGCAGAACAGACGCGAAAAGTTGCATAAACGAGCAGCCACCTTTTCAGAGCCCATTTACTTTGGTGATCAACGCCGCCCCTCTAACTCTACCGTTGATCATGATGAGCTTCCCGTCCGGGATCAGCTCTTGCCAGGTGGACTAAGACGACAGTATCTGCAACGGCAAAGCAAGCGTGTCAGCTACATTTCCGAACCTGTTACGCGGAACTTCATTTCCTTCCTTGCTCTCTATGGCCAATTCGCTGGTGAAGATCTTGAGGAGTCAGACGACGAGTCTGCCCTAACGGACGAGGAGGAGGCTCAAGGTGAGCGTAGGCCGTTGTTGGGACATCGCCAGAGCTCGAGAAAGTTGAGAGCCCAAGGTGATGCCAACCAAACAAAGACCTTTTTCACCCTTCTCAAGGCCTTCATCGGTACCGGAATCATGTTTCTGCCCAAGGCTTTCAAGAACGGTGGAATGCTGTTTTCAAGCATCACCATGATCATGGTATCTGCCATCACAGCTCTATGCTTTGAACTGCTGCTGGCAACGAGGAAGCGTTATGGGGGTGGTGGTTATGGTGACTTGGGTAGCATTGTCGTTGGCCCAAGGTTTCGCGCCCTTATCCTGGTCTCCATCACCCTCTCCCAAATCGGCTTTGTCTGTGCTGGTCTCATCTTTACGGCAGACAATCTGGCATCCTTTCTCGATGCCGTCACTCGTGACAAAGCACCCTTGTCTACGAACCAACTCATTCTCATCCAGGTTGCCGTTTTGATCCCCATGTCATTCATTCGGAACATATCCAAACTTGGCCCTGCAGCGCTGCTTGCCGATGTTTTCATTCTTATCGGCCTGACCTATATCTACTGGTATGATGTCTCATGGATCTCCAAGATGGGCGGCTTCCATCCTTCCATTGAGCTTTTCAACCCACGCGACTTTACCCTGACCATCGGCTCGGCAATCTTTACCTTTGAGGGCATCGGTCTTATCCTTCCCATCCAGTCGAGCATGAAGGAGCCTGAGCACTTCAGCAAGCTACTTTACATTGTCATGATTATCATCACAGTCATTTTCACCTCGGTAGGCGTGCTTTGCTACGGTACCTTTGGTGAACACGTCTCTGTCGAAGTCATCACCAACTTTCCGCAGAGCAGCAAACTTGTCAACGCTGTTCAGTTCCTCTACTCCATGGCCGTTCTTGTTGGCACTCCTGTCCAACTCTTCCCTGCCATGCGTAACATTGAGCTCAAGATTTTCGGTCGCGCATCCGGCAAGCAGAGCACCATGACCAAATGGAAGAAGAACGCTTTCAGAACCGTGCTTGTCATTGTTTGCGGTCTCATTTCTATTCTGGGAGCTAGCGACCTCGACAAGTTTGTTGCTCTCATTGGTAGCTTCGCCTGCGTGCCATTGGTGTACATTTATCCAGCCTACCTACATTACAAGGGTGTGGCAAACCGTCCTTGGGAGAAGTTTGGTGACATTACCATGATGATTGTTGGGCTTGTTGCAATGGTATACACTACCAGTATTACGATTGCGAGGTGGTCTGAAACTTGAGGGTAGAAGAAGGAGATGAAGAAAAAGGCATAAAGAGAAGCGGAAGAGGAATCAAAACACACGATGGATTCTAGATGATGTATCACTGTTGCATAGTATGTTTGTCACACGACTGGCGTTTTTTGGTTTTGGCTCGGAAAATGGAGGGGAATTGTTGCATGTGGTTTGTGCGATTTTGAGCGTGCATTTACATTTCGTTTTGTCACATGGTATATACAATAATGTCATGAAGAGGAGAAAAAACAAACAAAGAAAAGAATAACATCTTGTAGTCTAGGATCTTGCTCAACCTACGAAAGCGAGACTAAGTAAATGTACAGTCATGAGAATATGGAAGAAGCAAAATAGGTAACTACACGCATCCATTATATCCCTCCCAACCAACATCTCCATACGCGTAGTCCGCCACACCCCCATCCTCCCCCTCCTCAACATACATACGACGCCAAACCCGTGCTTCTCCCAAAAAGCAATGGCACCCGGCAAATACAAACCTCGCGACCCCATCTCGCACCGCGCACCGCTCCAACGCACCCACTTAGCGCAGATGCAAGCCCGCAACGCCGAAACAGCAGCAGCACAAAGAGCCGCACTACCTCTGCGCTGCGGCGGGAAGGACGTGAAGCAGTGGTTGATACGGGACGAAGCCGATTGTAGCTATGATTTCTTTTTCTTGTCCATCTTTTGGTTCTGAGGGTGTGTGTGCCGATGCGTTGGTTGCGAAGAGAAAACTGCCTGAGTGGATGCAGCGCGTGACCTCATCGTCAGGTTGGGTGCGCAGCTGCGGAGAATGTTTTGCGGCGGGTGTTACTTGATGAAGCGGGCGATTTGGGGGGTGGTTGTGTGCGTCATGGGGTGGATGTGCCAGCATGGTGGTGTGGTTGGAGATTGGGACATGGTGGTCGCTAGTATGATGTATCTGTATGTAAGCCAAGGTATACGAGGCTGGCCAACAGGGTGAAAGCGTTTTGATCGGCTAGCACGGGTATGGTAATGCTAAGTCCGGGGAGAAGTTCCTGGCCACTGGATGGGAAGAAGAGGGTTGGGGATTTTGCATGTTTTTTCATGTTTTCTTTCTATACTTCTTTGGTTTCTATCGTTCTGCTTTATACAAAATCTCATCGATTAGACAGCATTGGATAGTGCATGTCAACCATGGACAATGCCAGGCTGCAAGCACTTCCCTTTGATGCACCATGTATAAACTTGATATCGTCTCCAGTGCCTGGCGTCCCATACTTTCACTAGTCCGTGATGTTGGAGCCGTCTCATACATCTATGAGCACGGCTGTAGTTGCACCTCCATTGGAATCAACACCTCCATTGGTGTTAGGTTCTTCATGGTGTTGTTCATTGCTGGAATTCCCATTCGGTGTGATCCAATCCCGAACATTCAGGTCGATCCCGTGGTGTGAAGAAGGCATTTTGCACCACGAAACTCTGCCTTTCTTGCACTCTTCGTAGTGACATATATGGCCTCTCATGCAGAATGCATCGCGGCATTTTCCTGCATTGCGGCATGGAAGTGCTCTCATCAGATATCTGAGACAGTGACGTTCGTTGGCGCTAATTTGGCCATGGTAGTATAGGCAAGGTTTGGCGCTGCACCCATGGCCCAGCTGGAACATAGTGCATAGTTTTTTCGTAGCAATGCAAGCTTCATACTCTCTCCACTGCGCCTTAATGGGTACATCCATGTGTCTATCAATACGATCGCCGGACGCGTTGATTGGTATGACCCCTGATGCGCTGTTCTTAGGAAGAGAGACTGTTGGGGCAGGCGGTATGCGTGTCCAGCTGGCTGAGGCTCCTCTTTGAGAGCTTCCGGTGACGGAAGACATTGGACTGGCATGTTTCTCAGACTGCTCGCTCTGTCAATATATCAGCAGTTTCCTATATATGCTGTGAGGCACAAGAATTGAAGTCAAGCTACTCACTTCGAAGACGTTGCGTGTTTCCGTTATATGTTTTGAGACAGCCTCATTCCCATCAAAAGACTCGAAGATTTGCGGCAATGTTACACTCCATAGGCCCAGATTGGTCGGACTTGTATCGTCACTGCTTTTCTGTATAAGAGTGATCTTCTTGGCGAACGAAACATGCTTTTTGAGTGTGCGCATGTATTGTACGCTGCCACTTGCGCAGAACAAAATATGGCTGCAAGCAGAGTCCTTGATGTGCATCTCGAACAACCCTGCACTGTGATCAGCTGTGTTTAGTAGAGAAAAGTGGTATCACTTACCACAAATCTTGCGCTCGACAACCTCATCGCCAGCGACATCGACGAAGTCGATAGAAACATCACCACGAGAGAAGCCTGCGGCAAACGCCCCAAGGCTTCGTGGGTATGTGGGTTTGTGGAAGCCTCTATTTCGGGTAGCGTATTGATCTGCGGCTTCGACCGACAGCTTCTTAAGGTTGGCGTATACACAAATCCTCACGCGACATGTCTTCCTAATGAATTGTTGCGTCATGAGGTACTCGGTGACCGCTTGTTTGAGCACTGCAGCGGCCTTCTCACCACCGCTCTCGGCGCCGTGCAGATAGTTGTCTTTGAACTACAAGCGGAGTCAGTAATCGGAAATCTGGCAGTGCTATTGGCTGTACTTGCGTTGTGACTGTGTGCGTCCACTAGCACGAGTATATAGGAGTCTACCGTGAGCTCATGCGCGTCCGGTATCACCGGAACGTCACCGATAGAGCTACTCTTCAATGTGTTATACCTAGCCAGCAGTCGGTGGTACTCGAGTTCAATCACGTCTGCCCGGCTCACCATGGGAGCAGCCTGGGTGAGGTGTCAGCAGCGTCAGTGGATTATATAAAGGATTTTAGTCACCGTAGGATCCCTCAGAAGCAGTGCGGCATTGTCGTCACCAAGAAAATCGGGAATATCCCCGGACATTGTGTTGATTGTTTAGGGATGCAGTATAGGAGAGGGGTAGGTGGAGGAGAATTAGAGGATTGGCTTGTTTGGCCAATATATATGACAGGAGCAGCTAAAGGCAGCAGGGTTTGTATGACTGGACACGAATGAACGCAAACGGAGTGCACCTGCCCTATGAAACGAAGACAACACGTGGTACACAGTGAACCTTCCTTTCACTATGCTTATCAATAACGAGGCAAACTGGTTCACTTCACTGGCAGGGTGAACTGCGATACTACTATGTCGTATTCAGTAGTTGGCCACTATTTCGGGGCTGCAATGAGCAGTATGAGCGATGGTCCTTGGAGCGATGGGCAATATTGATGGAGCATGAAATTGGCATCAGCAAATGGTCCGCACCAAGTCCCGTTACTATCTCTGGAAGCCTAGGGGGAACTCGGCAGCTCTTTTGATTATCAAAAAGAAGGATATCACAGTAATCTGATTGTACAAAATCAAAGATGAGGACGTAGTCTGGCCCCAGCTTATCACTTACTGCGAATGCGACGGGATATTCTTTTTTCGGTTCAGGGTACAGAACGGCTGTCAAACCCCTTCGAAAAGCATGGTCCCGGAAGTTTGCATTGGCTTTCAGTATTATCGAGAACAGTGTGATTCCTTATGCAGCAAGTGTGCATGCTATGATCTGGTACTATTTATCGATACCACAACATTGGCATTGTACAATCCGCAGAGCTGAGAATATTACCCCGGGGAATAGGATCGCAGTAGGTTGATCGATAGGCCGAGGCCCAGAAGCCGTGACAAAGATAGCCTGGTGGTCAGTGTTCGATGGCTGCAGCTGCAGGCGATTCCCGATGCGTGGGAGTGTGGGAGAGATAGCCAAATAAAAAAAGTCATCGCATCTCAGCCTTCCACAAGAGAAATCAGGATACACGATCGAAGCTACTTTCTCAAAGCCCATAAAGACAATAGTTGTTATGCAGAATCCAAATCGGCCATGTCACCCCGCGACGTGGCTACACAATGGTCTGAAAAGGGAGAAAGCGGGCTTGGCAGCGCTCGGGCCAGCGCGATGTGCGGCCCACGCCGATTGTTTGGACTCGTCCCGCGTCACAACATTGAAGGCTCAACACACCCACGCCCAAACGACATCCACCCCTCAGGATAGCTTTTTTAGTCTTTGGCTCAGCTGCAATTGATTAGGACCACTTTGTATAGACATGTCTAGCTAGCCTAGCCCGCCCATTACCTTCACCCGGAACGCGACTGCCACCACCGCGACGCGCTTTATTCAACCCTAACACTTACCCAAAAACATATTCGACATGGCTACACGTACCAAAGCACCCACAATCGGGTCCGCTGGATGGATTCTCGAAGAGCGCAATCAGTCAAACACGCTTGTCGCGCAGGAGCTCGAGGATTTCGGCTTCTCTGTGCGCAATGAGCTTGAATGGCTTAACGAGCACATGTTCGACATACTCGCCAGCGACAGGCAGTACGTCGCGTCCCCCGTGCGAGTGTGTGCCCCATACTGACCTACTACTAGACCTAACCTTGATGTCTTTAAGACGCCTGGCAAGCTGCGCGGCAAGACGCCCCGTACAGCGCGCAAGAAGGTGGCCGATCGACAGGCATGTTCCTTCCCTGTGCGTTTTGGTCTCGTATACTGACAGCAGACAGCCGCTCGCCAGTATCCAGTCCGCAAACCTACAGCAAATCCTGAGCCCAGCAGAACAGAGCCTGAGAAATGTAAAGGCTAGATTCCAGATTGCCGAGGACGCGGCCAAAACAGTTCGACACTCGCCCGCGGCCCGCACGCCAATCGCACGACAGCTCTTCTCCAAGCCGGAAAGCGCTGGCAAGGAAAATGTAGACAGCAACCACCATGCTGCGCTCTTTGAAAAGCAACAAGCACATGCTATCGCAGCACTCCGGAGCCCTATCCAGTCCACCCAAGATACAGTCGAGTCTTCGCAGGCCAGCGACGTCTTCTCACCTATGCAGTCACAAGAGACCCAACCCACACAGCCCACTAATTCCTTCAGGCACTCGATAGAAGCAAAACAAACAAGACGCGACACAGGCGATTCCTTTGTCTCTGCAAATGAAGGCTTCTCTAGCAAGGATGCGTCCAAGGAGGACTCGCATGCAAACGATATTAGTGTCATGGATGTTGACGGCGAGCACTCGCGCTCCGATGCCCAGGATACTATGCTGCATCACGACATTTCCGATGCAGAGGACGCCGACATGGAAGAAATGCACGAATCTCCCGACCCACCACGTGCTGTTTCCGAGCCATACAGCATCTCTGCTGAAACCCATGACGCGCTCGACACGGCCAACAACCGCGCACTCATGCCAGAACCCAAGTACCTCGCACCAGAGCAATCCACAACACCTGCCGGCCCTCCACCCGCCCTTCTGGAAGCCAACGTTCACGATGACACTGTTCTTCACCATGATATTGACGATCAAATGGAAGTTGATGATGAGGATGATGTGCGCTCCCCTTCAGACAACTCCAGCCCCGTAAAGCCGCTTGTTAGGAAGAGCAGCCTTACGTTTTCATCTCTTCCTGCACGTGAGCCGTTGCTCCCCAAGAAGAGTATGGGCAACCGCGTGTCGCGCACAAGCCATATTGATCAAAACAAAGCTCGCAACAGCCATATGGCAAGATTTACTGGAGGCAAGAGTCTGGGAGGATCGCAAATTGCTTACCCTGCTGAGATGCATCACGAACACGATGACGAGGATATGGACGTTGACACAGAGCGCCCAGAAGTTCCCAAAGAAGAATCCGAGTCTACCAAGGCTCACAACAAGACTTCCACTCAGCGTTTGTTCGAGCGCATCAACATGCTCAAGCAACAGAATGAAGCCCCTACGCGGATCAGCCAGAACATCACTTCACAGTCTTCACAACCACAAGGATTTTCGACGCAACCAGAGGAGGTTGCATCCACACAACCTTCCCAGCTATCATACCCAATTCTCCCACCACCAGAACCTACACAGGAAGAAGAAGATGACGATGACTGGATATCACCAGTCCGGACAACAGCACCTGCGCCTAAATCACTCAGACCTGCCTTTGGCAAAAACCACACTACCGAAGCCCGCCCCTCTCCCCTCAGGCCTGTACCTGCAAGCCTTATTTCAGCCTCAAATCCAGATCTTACTGCGGATGCTGAATCAACCACCCCTATTGGCTCTCCAACTAACAGGCGATACATGGACGCACCTCTGAGTGCCTCAAAGTCAAAGCTATACTCAGCGTTCCGGGCAGCAAAGGATAAGCTAATTGGATCAACTGCCACAAGCGCCCAGGCGAAGATGGACACACTCAAGGAGAGCCCGGCAAGACCCAAGTTGCCCTCGCATGATTCATCAGACGATGCATTCAGTAGTCCCAGGCGCGCCGAGAGGCCAATTTCCATTTTCGATCACATGCGCTCGCCCTCCAAGGACTCTGACAATTCTAGTAAAAGTGGCAGCAGTCCCTCCAAGGGTGATGGCCGACGCACTCGCAGCTCCACTGAGCGGGAGAAGCAGAAGGAGAAGGAGACAAGAGAGAAGGAGGTTCGAGAGGCCAAACAGCAGCAACGCACAGAGGACAAGCTCAAGCAGATGCGCGAGAAGGAGCAGAGCAAGGCAGCCGCACATGCTCAGAAAGCCAGGGCTATGGGTGCAAAGACACCAACCGCCATGTCGTCTCAATCAAGTCTCAGGCTGCCAACAGCCATGGCTAATATCAAGACTCCATCACAAGCGACTCAATCTGCCCAACCAGCCACACAACAACCGATACTTCGACCTGGCATCCCCCGATCCAACACAGCGACTTCAAAAGAAGACGTCGACTCGGCGGAAGATATGCCACCACCACCGCCACCAAAGAGCTTGCTACCGACTACCAAGCCGGCCAAGGCACCTCTCCGAGAGCCCAGGAAACTGGCGAAACCCACAAGCAAGGACGCTATTCCCAAGGCGAAGGCGCCACAGAAAATTATGGTCAATCTCAAGAGCAGTCACTACGGCCAAGCACCTCCACCAGCTCCACGTCCAGCTACGGCAGCTGCCAGGCCTATATCTGCAGCACCACAAGCTGCTGGTAAGTCCGCAGCTACAGGAAGGCAAACACCAGCCGGAACAACACGACCGGCTTCAGCTCTGTCTACCAAGTCTGGACCTTCGTCCAAAACTGTACAGCCTCTCGCTAAAGCGCCAGCTCCTCGAGCAGCCCGACCTCAGCCGCAGACTGTTGAGAAGCCCAAGGCTCCAGCATCACAACCTCCACGATCAGACCTTGGCGCTGCACGACCTGTATCACGGATGCAGACGGTGCAAGATGCCAATCGCATCAACATTCCCCCGGTTAACCCAGCTAAGCCGCCCCCTAAGCGACAGTTCCCTGGTGAAGGCGATGAAACTCTACACCGTCCAGCCAAACGTCCTTCACAACAAGCAAAGAACTTGAACCCGATTACACCAGCTCACGCGCAGTTTGCCAAGGGTAAGATTCCTTTTGCAGAACCCGCCCACCAATCACAGTCTCAACCGCCGCAAATACAATATCCCAACGGGGAAGACATCAAGCTTCCTGAGATCATGACAGACTCTGAAGACGAAGACTCTGACAACGAATTCGAGCCGCCAAGCTGGGTCAACACGCCTAATCTACGTGAGATGCTCAGCAACCAGCAGCTCATGGACCCTGAGCATATTTTTGGACCGATTGCGCCGCTGGAGATGGAGAAGGTGTTCCCCAACAAGGAGCGCCACAAGCGGTTCCGCGAGCGGACGAGCAGTGCGTACTGGGCCAATGACGAGGTGACTGCCGAGGAGAAGCGCAAGGAACGCGAGGCGAGAGAGCGGCTTGTACGGGATGGCGGGTGGACGTATAACCCATCGCCACTTCCCAAGCAATCTGGACCTTCTCGGTAAAAAGAGAGAGATGAGGCTTTTTTATGAAAGAAGACAAAAGGTTCTGCGTATGGAGGGGATTCATGATGAATGGTGGTCCCTCTATCTCTCTCTCTCTCTCTGCCTTTGATTATTTTTGAAGCGGGTTGTTGCGTTCTGTCTTGTTTTTATTATATCAGCATGGCTTCCCCTTTTTCGATTTGAAGCGTTTATGGGAGAATTGACAGGATTGCATGTTTATTTGCATATGGCCATGAAACGGGAGGGGGGAGAAAGGATCCGTTATGCATGAAGAAGTATCCTACTCGCGGCGTTTGTTTGTTTGTTCGTTTTTTTCTGGGGGGAAAGGGGAACTCTTCTTTTACTGTTACTTTCTTCTTTTCTGATGGAAACGAGTACGGCTTATTCCCTGTTTCCATCTACACACCCCCCCCCCTTCTTTTTTTTAAAACTCTTTCTTGATCGAGTAGTATATCACGGAATGAAACGAACTTTGTGTTTTTTTGGCCGTTTATTACTTGATTTCTCGTTCTTCCCTTTTCTTTTCGCTTTGGCGCAGTGGATGTGTGTATATAATGTGGACGAGAGGGTGAAAGTGAATAATGGTTTAGATATGGTGTTTAGTAGTCGAGTATATAACTACAGGATTTTATGCAATATGGCACATTGGGGATATGTATGGGATGACAAAGATATCTAGGAAGTAATGCATGAATTCATTGACGTATAAGGTGTAGTTTTGACAAAGGGTGGAGTGAGTTTTACTTTGTTATGAACCTAGATGGACCCTTCATGTTGGTATTGGTGTTTTTAAAAGGTATGAAATGAGAATATTTTTCTTCCACTATGATGATTTGAATGAGGTAAAATAGTCATTCTCACGGGCGAGTAGTATTTACAAGTCAAAAGTGTCATGTTGTTTCGTGAACATGGACAAAGAAGTCATGAGTGTTCAGTGAAACTATGTATTAGCTATAGAAAGTCATGTGTAACTACGGTCGCTTAGGAAGATCATAATATTGTAAAAACACGCCCGCTGGTAAACAAAGTCATGTGTGTACTGGTATCCATAAAGCCCGTCCAATTCGCAAAAACCCTCGCCATAACCAACATCAGCATCCAGTGCGATGTTGTATCCATCATCGTGTTTCTATCATACAAGAGTCGGAGTGCAACTCAGCGACTGTGGTCAAAGTTCAGACGCTGGTGGTGTCTGATCGCGTGTTCCAAGAGGCGTCTGAGGACATTCTGCAGGCATTCTAGACCTGGCTCATGGCGGGACCACGGCGGGTGCTACGGAGGTTGGCACCGCTGCCACGGCCATTCATGAGGTTGAAGGCGAGGGTGGCGACAAAGGCGGCCCATCCGAACCAGAGGAAGGCGGTGGTGGCCTGGGCTTGACGGCAGTTTTGCTCAGTGTTTGGCGAGCTGTTGAGGACGCTGTTGGAGTGTGTGTATGCCTGAGCAGTGTTAGATTGAGCTCGCGAGTGAAATAGCTACAAAGATCCTTACCGAGTTGGAGCAGCTGTGGGCACCAATGTACGAGGGAAGTGCGACGGCGGCGCAGAAGCCAAAGATGACACTGAGGGCATCGAGAGCAATGTCGACAACGGGAATACTGAACCTTTCGATGAAGGACGTGGGCAGGAAGTAGAGGAGGGTGAGCAGCCACCAGACGCCGACGAAGAGCGAGTAGTTGATGATTGAGTGGGTTCCGGCCGTGGCACGCGCAATGTTGTTACCCATCAATGCGGTGACAATGACGGCGCAGATCAACTAGATGGTATCAACAAGGCTGTCTTTTCGTACGGTAGCGATGATACTGTGTGTACATACCTGCCAGGCGCGGAGGCCCATGGACAATGCCCTTGACACCATTTTTGCTGATATATGTGTGTATGTATGTAAGTATTGGTAAACAGGACGGATGTGGGGGAGATGCAGGATGCAGCTGGGATGGGGAGAGTAGGCTGAGCGAGGATTGGGTTGAGAGACGATGTTTTTCTTGCAGTGGACGGTGGTGGGCTGAGGAAATATGTATCGCAGTCAGCGGGAGGCAGCGGCCCTGCAGCGTCATCGCAGACCCCTACGTCACCCCAGGGTCCTTCCGACGCAGCCCTTTCCGGAAACATCGGTACTTACACAGTAGGCCCTCGCTAACTCCGTCGATCACAAAACGATGCTGCTGCAGGGCTGCAAAAAAGGCGTCTGGGTGTCGAGGCGGTTTGGATCGAGTGTGAAGTGGATTCTCAGAATTAACCCCAAAAGGCGGGCTTGTGGCCTACATGTATCTTTTATCAGGCGTTGGGCGGGTGTTGTCAGCGTTGCTGCGCAACAGAAGTGGTGAGGATGCAGGTATAGCCAGGGATGCTCGACTTGCGCCATCAGCCACTGGATGACTGCACCGCCGCCCGACCTGTTCCCTCCGAGGGAGAGCTACTGCACTCTCCGACGTAAACTTCTTCATCTATGACATGTGCTTTTGTCCAGACCCTCGACCGCCGCAAATCCATCCCTCCTCTTGTCGTAGTTCATGTCCAGTATTCCCCGGATCGACATGATCGTCATCCTTACGCACACCTGCGCTGTCTCTGCACCTCGCCCATCCAAACGCTTTTGAAATGCCTACTACCCACTTGACCTGTGTATTTGATAAGAACAAAAAAAGACGTAGTTATGCCTAGTCGATTACACTTTCGTTGACTGCCGATATTTCCGCTGTGGACTGGCGCATTGTTTCATAGCCCCGCCCGATTAGCCCGGTCAGGCCTATCACAGAGCCTGGCGCTTGTTATCATGACCTCCACCATTCGCATGCTGTAAACACACCCAATGATTCTCTCCTCCTATACCACTTCCTCAAACATCACGCACATTTCAAAACCCCGCAACAAAAACCGTCTCATTTACCCAGCTATGTACAACCCGTATCTGTATTGCAAAGACAAAAATCTTGGTCTAGGCGACTTTTGAAGGCTGCTTGTCCACACACCCGTCGCCCCTCTACAGTGCGAGGGTGGCGTCGACTGTTCAATCTTCGACATGTCTGGACAAAGAGCGATAAAGCACTCCTGTCCACACTCCCTTGTGCCACTGAACAGGCTTCAAACGAGTGCAATCCTGTCGGGCCATGTTTCCAATGCCATTCAAAGTGTATCATAACCTACTTGTTTGTCCATGGCTTCTTCATACCTCTCAGGTACTGTGGGGCCTTTGTCCGGTCCCCAAAGACGACGGAATCAATGTCCCGTTGTTGCATTGACCAAGATACATCATCTTATTGCCTTGCCTTCTATTGTCCGGCTTGGGCCTGGTATTGCTCCATACTCGATCCCGTCCAAGTCCGATTGTTGTAGAATCAAAAAGGCAATACTGTCGTCTACTCGCTTTTGTCGGTGTGGCCTGTGGAAGGGCGTTGTTACTCGACATCGTCTACATTGTGTAAATTTCTTTGTTATCCACGTTTGGGTTTCCGGCTGGACAGTGTGCTATCCCCCAGATTTCTGCATCGTCCATCGTCGGTTTCGAGGCAAATTGAGGGCACGGTCCGACACCGCCCTGGTATGTGGAGGCAACCTTGATGTCAGTCTATCATCTGCACATACTGGAAGCTCGGTAGCGCGTAGGCAAACGCGTGTAAATGTTTTCATACAGTCGCTGCTCGTGCCATTGAGCTTGTACACTGATGAGTCGGGGAATGAGATCATCCCACCCACACGGGTGAGCTGCTATCCGTGTATACAGGAGAAACTCTGACGGTTGACTCGATCGTGGGGGGTGGTCAGGAGGGTTGAGATTGTTGTTAGTTTAGACAGAGGCGGATCTAACAAGCGCTGTCATGCAATTAGTTGATACAAGCTTTCTCTTACCGTGCAATCTTGGACCATGGTAGGGCAATGAACAGAGTCAATGTAGTTCAAGTCAGAATACCCGTGCACAGACAATCAAAGGACCTGGAGCCGCTGAGTAAAGCTGGTGCAGGAACAGTAGAGAACCTAGTAGTTCCAATGCAGACTCAGGAGGAACGTGTGACTTGCCAAGACATTCAAAGAGCATCGGTCTTGCCTGTCAAACTCGTAGTAACTGTTTACCCACATGCATTTCAATGCTCGCAGTGCCCGCTTGGTGGTTTTGTTGGCTTCGATAACTTCGAAGATCTCCCGCTTTACCTGCCTAGCAACCGACCAAAGCGCTTGCCACAACGAACGGAGAACCCTCCATCACCCACACTTCCAACTCCTACCCGCTCCAATCCTACAATGACAGAAAAAGGTAGAGGTCATCACATGTCCCTACCCATCTTACATCCTCGAGTTCGTGGCAATCACCAGGAGGTTTTGGCACACCCTACGGTGATCCAGTCCCGGTGATGATACCTCGAGCCCCGACTGCAAACCTGCCCCGCCTCCAAGACTACACCCACAACACAACCACCAGGACTTTTTCTAAAAGTCAAGGCCCTTCTTGCTCTTGGATGAAGCTGACGATCCTTGCTCTTTCTCTTATCCCCTGAGATGAACTTTGCTGACCTCGACCGATTGCAATCTCCACGGGCAGCTAACAGACTTCTCAGAGCCACTCATACAGCGTACAGCTACACGATTGAGCAGTCTACACAAAGACGGACTCACCTTAAAAAAAAGATAAGTCTAAGCATCCCTCCGACGTGCTCTCCTTGCACTGCTCACTGTAGGGACGGGGCATCAAACCGGCAATTGCCGCCTTGCAGATAATCGTCAGTATGCGGAAAACACACAAACCCGTTTGGTACTGCCAAGGATACCGTCGTGGAAGATACTATCTTGAACACAAGAGACTACTTTGCTTAGGGATAGCGACACCGGAGATCCGGAAATCCTCGACAAGGGATACAAGAGGTAGCATGTGATACCCGCCTGCAGCCCCCTCTGCAACAATGCCATTGTTGAAAGGGCAAAAGGCGACCATCTTTTTCGTAGTGGATCGACGGTTGTCGGGCCACCATGGCTCGTCGACAGTCTCGAACATGGCCCGATGCGGTCACAGACAGGGTTTGTGTCAAGTCTCAGCCCGCGACAGACTAACGGTCAACGTGTCCAAAAAGAAAACGGCAGTACAGAATGGCTCAAGGCTTGACAGGAACGGCAATTGGAAGCATTCTTTGCATCAGTCACATGCACTCCACGCGTGGCAAAGGTACCGAACGCCCAGCGAACGCGTCTCGGGTAGACACATCGAGACCCATGGCCTTGGAAGCCGAAAAGGCTGGACTGATCCGGATCGGATATAAGCCAGCAACAGGTATACATCGCCGTCTGACTGTCATCGCGAGGGATGTTACAAATCGGGCCGGAAGCCTGACCGGCGTATAGAGGAGGGCGCCCAAATATCAGAACCAAACCACTTGCTCCCGAGGAGTTTGCAGACTCCGCACGAGACGTTCATTACGCGCGGTTACGTACTTGACGGCATCAGTCACAAGCTTTGGAACAAACTTCTGCGTCACAACCAACGATGATCGAGGCATGTCTTCTGACTTGGCCCAAGAGAGGGGCTCTGGTGGGATCACGGCGATTTGAAGAGCGGGCGCATCGTTGACTGGGGTAGCTCATGGAGCTTGGCTGTTCTTGAAAACGCCAATGCCATGCAGCAAAATGCGGGGTTGGCATCAGCCAATATGCAACGCCGACAAAAGGGAACCTGTCCGACGGGCGTCGTACTATTATTGCGTGTGCCCGGCAACAGCCAACACCGCGGGCACTGGAGCAGCCTGTCGGTTTTGCAGATGCTCGCCCAGGCGGCCAACTGTCGAGCAGCGTTGGCAGCATCGTTCGCGACTAGTCCCAGGAACGCTCGCCGTGCAGCCGTCGACTGTGATACGTACATCAAACACGAGGGCGAATAGGAGGGCGTCAAGGAGCTGCACAGAAGCGCCCACAGGATCATCGCATCGAGCGGGGCATGCCGCGGATGCGTCAAGCAGCTAAAGAGCTTGGTTGTCGAGATTGTTGTCGAAGGCGTAGGGGCGCGTGACTCAGTTGAAGTCTAGGGCTGAAAGCGACGGTAGTGCTACCCAAGGTCTCGCCATCGGCGATAGTGTCGTGGGTGAGGCATGGCGCTTGCAGCGAAGCAGAATGGCGTGCGACAGGCATGGAGCCTCTGCGTTGAGAAATGGCATCAGGATGGATGTGTTCCGACGGGCCCGACCGAGTCCAGACGGATCAAATGAGGGGCTTGTCGACGTGACCCCTGGAGGCGCATAGTGGATCAGCAGCTCTAGGGCGACGATGGAGGAGGCTCGCTGGCCTGACGCGAGGCGATGCAGGCGTCTTGTCGAAGGGTTGATGCTGAACAAGAGGGGTTGACAGGACAGATGATTTGATCCATCGGGCCCTGTCCGGTGGGCGTCGCTACCCCCCAACAGCACAGCAGCAATTTGCACCCGTTCGCCTGAAGCACGCACGGCTAGCCCTAGTTGGCCTGGCCGTCTCCGCATTTTCCTGCGCAACGACCCTACAGAAGCCCCTGACCCTTGGCCGGGCGTGTGAGCTGCAGAAGCCTCAAAGGCGTTGCATGTCTGCGTGTCTCTACGCTTCCGCTGATTTCCCCGTAATGACGGTCTTGCCTCCACCTGTTGTCCATCGTGTCCAACTGGCAGCTGTCCTCGCATCCTTCTACTGACATCGCAGCAAGCTTGTCGCGCCTGTGCTGACCGTGTGTGGCTCCCCCCCTGATCTGACAAGGCGCGCGCGCGGAACGGCAGGGTGTGTGTCTTCTCCCCAACGTTTCGAACAATCGCCAAGACGAGACGCTGTTGCCATCACTTCTGGCCTCTTGTCCAAAGCCGTCCGCCTTCTTCCATAACATAACCTCTTTCTCAGTCGTCCGGGACACGGGGCGACATGTGCCTGCTCTAGTAGTCGCACATCCCTCCTACTCTACAGACTGCGGTCCTGGAAATTGCGGGATAGCCTGGGTTTAGCAGCGTGGCGCTTCCCCACCTAAGGACCCGAAGCCCTCTCGCCGATCCTAGGCACGTATGATCTCATGCAACAACTGATGCCATAGCGTATCGTGTTCGTGTTCGACATCTTCAACAAGAAAGACTAGGGATAGACTGGTTCAAGAATTTGGCGCTTGGTTTGCGTACGTTTTGAGGTATGTTGTTACCACTCGCTCCCTGGGCCCCGACGGGCTGCCGCAAGACGTTCTTGATGGAAAGCTGACATCTGGTTATAGTTAACTTCCAGATCGGTTTGTTTTATTAGAGTTGTTGTGGGATAGAGCTTGCCCGGTATGTCTTCTTTGTGCCGTAGCAGTAGCCGCAACACCCACTGTCCTGAGCATGCTGTGGCCATGTCTAATGACCTGGCCTGGCCAGACTCAGCAGCTGCTCTGCATGCGCTCCGCCGTCTTATATGCGTATGGAACCTCACGTTGCTGATGTTTCCAAACAGGATATACCGCTCTTTCTTCTGATAGATCTGCTTTGGGCATCGAGCTCGGCACCGCGTAATTTTCCTAGACAATCCTGTTAACTAGGTAAGCAAACTCCATCTCGTTTTACCTCCCTCCGTCTTTCTTCAATCATTCCGTCAGTCATTTCTTCTTTCTGGTCTCAGTGTGCATTCTTTTTTTGTGGTGCGGTTGCGGTGCGGGGAGGGTGGGAGCAAGGCCTTGCGGTGTTGGCGGAGATGGGGCAGCGGATGAGAAGTCAACAAGAGCTCTATCAGCCGCTGTGCACATGTTCGCATGCATCACAGGTCGTTTTCTATCTCGAAAGAGATCTTGGGATGCTCGCCTGGAAGATGAGAAGGTGTTTGTATCAGTGTCTTGATGACGCTCAAGGTGTCGTGGCCAAGTTTCCTTTGAGGATCGTCACCATGGACAGCAGCACACTCTTGTTGTTAGGAGGCGAATCAATCAGAGCAACGCAACCATTTACTCATCTTTTTCTTCTTGTCTCCTATTACTGTTTATGCTTTTGGGCACCCTGAGCACTACTAAGACCATCATTGATAACAGTAATCTCTAAAGCCATTATTGCAAGAGGCTCCTGCAACGAGCATCTCCATCGGTCTTTCCCTACAAACGTCTCTAGGCGACGGTCGAGCCACCTGAGCACAATAAGATAGCGCTGGCCCACGGACCCCCTGCCTTTTCCTCCTTCGTACTCACCTTCTATCCACTCTCCTACCCCACCTCTCTTACCGTTGACCTTACCTCTACTCCTTCGATCCATCCTCTACCAATCCTCTTCTTGTTTCTGCGGTGTACCCCACTTGCACCATCATCCCCTTCTACCACGCTTCCGCGCCAATCAGCTCTTGTAGAGCAGCGGCGAGGCAGCATCAAGCTACCCCGCTAGACTCCATTGCAACAGACATAGTTGTTGCCTGCCACGCCAGGTAAGTCGGCATCACATCTATACTCCCGATCTGTCTCACGAGCTGTTCCTCTTCCTCCTGCTGCTGCTGCTGTTGCTGGATGCCGTAGTTATCGCCCCTTTCTGATGGCGGGTCACGCTGACATACACTCATAGACTATTAAGAAGCTTTGAAAGCTTCTGCTTCAAGAATTTGCACCTTTGCTAGTGTCAAGAACCCTACTGGCTGCTGTACACTTGGCGTGGTCGTCCAACTTGTCCATCATATACACCTAGAACTTACATTTTTGACATCAACGATCCAGGTATGTGCCGCATGCCATGTCTATCCACTCCTGGCTTCATCTATCTCACCTTTGTTACTCTAGCGTTGCCGCTTTGTCCTTTGAATACTTATACTGACAGCCAAGGCACTTGCCTTCACAGACAACTACGGTCTTCTAGACACATCCGCTACCCTAGACGGCACATTCTCTTACACATCCTGCCACAAGGTACACCACTTATACGGTTTACTCAGTGCATTTTCCTTGAAAGAGATTGTGCAACTAGACAGCCACCTAGTCCCCATTCATTCATCCCCTAGATCTCAAGGTACGTCCATGTCAGTCATATAAGCTTTCGACGGTAGCTAACCTATCCAAGACAAAGACGAATCAACATGAGTTCCAACACATACAAAGGCGGCTTGGCCGTTGGTGGTTCCGCCCTCGACAAGTCCAAGTTACAGCTGCGCCGTCCAACGCCGGACAGTGATGTCTTGGCATCTAGTGATGATGACCGTGAGCACGTGGCTCCTGTCGTTCGCCAGGCCCCTGGCGCGTACCCTGCAGTACGACGCCCCTCTTCTGGTTGGCTCCATGACATCCAGCCGAACCGCAAATACTCGTTGCCATCAGTGTCATTTGCAGGGTCGCTACCGACGACGCCATCGCTCGAGTTGCCGCAGCAGACGCGTCCCAGCACTTCGGCATTCCCTTGGAATACGCCTAGCTTCACCTCGAGTTCAAACAGTCGCCTGAAGGAGGTTGCCCCCTCGCCTACCTCTGCGTATCCGCCTGGTGAGAAGCCTCTTGCTTCTCCCACCACCACGCACGAGGCCGACGACGGCATTGGTTTTCTCCTTAACCAGCAGGCTCCAAACCCATTCCGCAAGGCTGTCCGATCGCAATCCTATAGCATAGGTCAAGGCGATATCGAGCATCACCCTGTAAGCCGCTTCTCACGTCAACCCCCTAGTTCTAGCCTCCGTCACCGGCCTTCTAAGCCAAGCCTCCTTGGTGAGTCAGCCGTCGGTCTTTCGCAGCTGCGCGAAGACGACGTTGACGATATCGAGTCATCCAACGGTTCAGAGCACGGTGTGCGTTTACCTGCCGGATACTGGGAGCGAGAGCAGAAGCAAGCTTTGCTGAAGCAAGCCGCCATGGAGAATGCACGCGCTCGCAACCGAGCCACCTCCACTGGCTCGCCAGTCCTTCAACTGCAGCAGCAACGCCGTAAGACTACTGCTGGCTTACGTAACAGCGGGTACAACAACGCAGCCGAGTATGCTATCGAGGAGCTCGAAGACGTCGACCCGGCACTGAACGTCCCTGCTCCCGGACTCACTCGTCGTTTCAGCGAGCATGTCTCAGTCCTCAAGCGAGACCACGAGGTTGAAATTGTCGATAGTCCGCAGAAGCCGCAGTGGGCGACCGGCAACATCTCCCCAGGTGAGGCTGACCCCCTTGGTCGTCGCCACTCGTTTGCGCACTATGGAAGCTACAACTCAACGATGCCACTTTCGACTCTGAGCAACACACAGGAGGAAGAGGAGGAGTACATGTCCCCCCGACAGACTTCTCCTAACGAAGACAACGAGCCGTTTGATGCTGCAGCCTACTTCACTGGCTACGGCCCTGCATCTCGTGCCATCAATTCCTCGGCTATCTCGGCAGCTCATCCAGATCCGATTGTGCCCAACACCGCAATGTCTGCTGGCAATCCGTACGCTGTGCCCAACATCCTTGGACGTTCTAATCGTCGCCTGTACGTCGTCACATTCAAGTGTTCTCGTGCCGATATCTACTACGTATACGACAACACCGGGCTTGAGGTTCGCCGTGGTGATCTGGTCATTGTCGAGGGCGACCGTGGCTGCGATCTGGGCCAGGTCACTCATGCTGACGTGACTATGGAGGAGGCTAAGAAGCTGAAGGCCGAGGCGAACGATGAGCACTTCCGTTGGCTTGTCATGTTCTCTCAGTATTCTCTAGCCGGCACCCAGAACGATTCGGGAATGCTTGGTGCCCTTGCGCGTGCTAATGGATTTCCGAACCCCATGAGCCGCACTGGACTGGCAGGTCAGGGAGAGCCAGAGGTCATTAAGCCAAAGCTTATCAAGCGTCTGGCTCAACAGCATGAGATCATGGGTTTGCGTGAGAAGGAAGGTGGCGAGGCCAAGGCCAAGCGCCTCGGAGCACAGAAGGCCGCTGACCACAAGTTGCCTATGGAGATCTTGGACGCTGAGTACCAAGCGTAAGTGTTAACGTGCTCATGTTGGCTTCGCCTACTAATACATCTCAGTGATTACCACAAGCTCACCTACTTCTACTACGCTGAGTCGTACGTCAACTTCAACGAGCTTGTCACAGACTTGTTCAAGCAGTATAAGGTCCGTATCTGGATGTCAGCGGTCAACCCGGCATCTGTCGTCAACCCGGCAGGCATGTCTCAGATACCGCCACCCTCTGCCATTGGCCCTGGAGCGATCATCACTTCCAACACTAATGCCCCGCTCTCTGTTGGTCCTGGATTCGGCTCCAACAACAATCGTCCTGCCCAGCAGTATGGTAAGTCTATCGCTTCTTCCATTAACCTGTCAACTTGTTAATTGTGACTAGGTCAAGCCCGTAACCATGGCTCATATGGTAACTACGATGAGGGCTTCCACGCTTTCTCGCATCAGATCCCTGCCTATCCCGCACAGGCTCAGTACAACATGCAACCATGGGCTCATGGCCAGCAGATGGCGCCTCACAGTCAACAGATGGCACCTCACAGCCAACAGATGGCGCCTCATGGTCAGCAGATGGCGCCCCACATGTACCGAAACTACTATCCCAACGTTAGTGCGAGTGGCAGCCAGATGACCTATGGAGCTGCTGGCTACTATCCGCCGACAACTTACCCTTCGTCTTACGGTGGAAACTACGTCCCAACCACAACTACGGCCGGATATGCTACCTCGCGCAACTACACGTCAAATGCTGGCCAGTCGTTCGTTCCCCATGTGCCTACAACCTATGGTGGCAATGTTCCTTACACTTCGGGAAGCAGCCAGTCCAACACTGGTGGCTACTATGGTACATCTGGACCACAAGTCAACGGTACCTCTGGCGCTTATGCGGGTAGTAGTGCGCACACGACCACCACTGCAGCTCACCAGAACAACAACTACGACCCTGGTTTGATGAATGCCATGCAGCACATGTCTCTCGGCAACTAGGTCCGCTCGCAGATGTGGCAACCCCAAGGCCTCTCCAAGGTTCAAGCTAATCTATCAACTCTGATCTTGTAGCTGTCTCTACAATATGCTACATTTCTTCTCCTGATTGATCGAATGTGCGACAAGATCAATTTCGACCACAGTTTGAGGGATTCTTCCAGACTGTGCTTTCTTTCAGTACCATGCTTTAGGGATCATTTAGGCGCATACGGCTGCTTCATGATGGATTTTACATCGGTTCATACTGTTCACTGCCCCAGAAATGATGGCAACGGCCTTACCAACTATCGGGAAACATAGCGATCATGTTTGCGGCTTTCCTCTTCTTGTTTTCTTGTTTTCTTCTTTTCTTCTGCGTACCATTCAACTTTCCTTTGAAAATTTCCCTTAATGTCCCTTCTTTCCCCCACTGACGGCCCTTTACAAGTTACATCCTCTATGGAAAGCTGGCTAGTCAGACATTACCCCATGCATGTCTTTGTAAACAAATGCCGATAGGGCGAAAATAAAAAAGCTTTCTGCACCAATTGCATGCTCCCAATTCGTTTTGTGACCAGTTGTGCTCTAATACCCAGGGCTGTCGAGATTCATGTCTCTCAGCGGACAAACCGTATGTAGACGTTGCATAAAGAGACTACAAAGTGTGCCGCCAGCAAAGAAATGTGATATGCAGATACTCACCCAGTTCCGGCATTTCGTGTGTCGAATACAATTACGTACACTCTTGCATATGACTAGTAAATTATGTTGAGTTGCACCTTTCCTCCAATCTATTGTCTCACCTACTCTCCCCACCTCACTGTGACAGCTGTACACTGATTCGCGACCTCAAAAATGGCGCGCCAACAACGTACTCAACCACTTGCTAAGAATGCTAGCAGTCCACAGACCTCGGGAAAGATGATGGGTTTAATAAGACTGGAGGCCAGTTGGTATTTGAACTATCTTTATCAACACCCAGCAGCTAACAGTAATCAAAGCCAGATGCTTGCTCTTGACAGTCTCCTCAAAAGGCCACAACATGACAAAAAGGGACTTGATGAGCTGCTTGCAACGACAGCGACCGACCGGAACAAGTACAAGGAAGGAATCGTACAGCTGAACAAACAGATCTAAGGACCAACCACAAGACGATGTAAAGAAGCTGACCGACTAAACAGAAATGCTGATTGTGTCTACAGTGAAATGGAGCAGAAACGCCACAACGACGAGTTGACTTCCACGATACTCGAGAGTCTCAGAACCCCAAATCGTCGCACACAACACGACACGCCGACTTTTGCAGGTAGGAACATTGCAAGCAACGCCGTGTACGCATGCATCACCGACGTCCTTAGTGCTTTTCAGAGTTTGGTCAACGGATACAAGAGATTGGATGGCATGATCTGGAAGCTCCAAGAAGACAAAATGCATCCTATTGTGGATACATGGAAACGAGATGTTGAAGAGACAGAAAATCAGCTCAAATTGGGAGCAAGAGTTGCACTCAAGAACGTGAGAGAGGTTTTGGGAGCTAAGGTAGCAGGCGGTGATGCGAAAGGACTAGCTGATGAAGATGGAGACATGGACATGAATGTAGGTGGAAAGGCGCAGCTGACTTGTGAGTTACTGGAGAGCCTGAGGTATGCAGAAAGGGGAGTCAAGCGCATGACCAAAGGGCTCCCCATGAACCAAGGCCGCTGAGTGCACTTGACACATGACGGCAAGGTCACGCAAGAGGCCACTGCTAAGCCTTGAGAATTCTCCGGCCGCAAACCTTGATAAAAACATGAAGAGTGGTTTTACAAGGGATGTCTCATACTGTATGTAGCTCGTTGCGAAATCAGTTCGCTCCACAATAAATATAGCCATGATTTTCTCGCCATTCTGCCATTCTGCCCCAGCAATAGTTCACCACCGCCAGACGTGATAGGACTAGTGGCCGTGCACTGACCACCCCACACATTACGCGAAATATCGGTGTTCCGTCTTTTACAGCACCTCCAGCACGACAGCGTCGACAATCTACTAACCAACAGTCAAGGTATGTCGGCACGCTATTGTTGATTTTTTGTAGACTGTATACTGACATTGTGACAGATGGGTGCCCTCAAGTGTAAGCGCACGCCAAACCTAGCAATTCCACGCTCGCAGCTAATCCGCGGTAGATGTCGAAGAACTTCAGAAGAAGAAGCAGTCGGATATGATGCGCTTCTTGATGCGCGTCCGCGTACGTATAGACGATTGAGCTGGACAATGAACTCTGCTAACATCTGACAGTGCTGGGAGGTATGAGCACAATTCCCCGAGACTGCCCGTCTCAAATTGGTGTACTCGTTGAACTTTGCTGAGAGTGCATCGATAGCTTCGCCAACTTAAGGTCATCCACCGCGCCAGCCGCCCCTCGCGCCCCGACAAGGCCCGCCGCCTCGGATACAAGGCCAAGCAGGGCTACGTTATCTACCGCATCCGCGTCCGCCGTGGAGGTCGCAAGAGGCCCGCTCCCAAGTACGTACAATTGGCAGCGATGTGTTGGGCAAAAGTGCATAGCTAACATTTACTTCTAGGGGTGCCACCTACGGTATGCTTCGAGCGTCAGATTTTTCAGGCAGAGCAACAGACTAATAAACCAACAGGCAAGCCCACCAACCAGGGTATCAACCAGCTCAAGTACCAGCGCTCTCTCAAGTCGACTGCTGAGGAGCGTGTCGGCCGCCGCTGCGCTAACCTCCGCGTCCTCAACTCCTACTGGATCAACCAGGACTCGACCTACAAGTACTACGAGGTCATCTGCGTCGACCCCCAGCACAAGGCCATCCGCCGCGACCCTCGCATCAACTGGATCGTCAAGCCCGTCCACAAGCACCGCGAGAGCCGTGGACTCACTGCCACTGGCAAGAAGAGCCGTGGTCTTGGCCGTGGACACAAGTTCAACCACACCACTGCCGGCAGGAGGAAGACCTGGAAGAGGAACAACACCCTCTCTCTCTGGCGCTACCGCTAAATGCGCTGAGCGAGTGGTGTGCTTGGTGGGACGTCTGGTCGATTGTTTCAAGCGTATGGGCTGGCGTGAATGGAATAGGGTGTCCTGGGCTATGTAGCTTCCGCACAGCATCAAGGCTGGCAGGACTTTCAAAAATTAAATACCATGGATTCATGAAGTTTACGACGGACAAACGTAGAACCACATGCCTTGATTGTGAAGTCACGTGGGTGCTGTAGTCGCCGTGAAGAGAGAAGGATTGCGTCTGACGAAATTTGCTTGACAGATGCAGGTGGTCCTTGGCTGGGCAAGGTCAGAGTGACATGCATGGCTGCTTCTTGGATAGCTGACGGGCCGGTGAGCTAGCTGCAGCAACGACGTCAGACGGGTTGCGATGAGAGCAAAAACGGGGAATGCGGCATGTGTGTTTGTTGCGATTCTGTCTCTGCGGTTTGTATGTATACATAGCTGATGCAGTTGTTTTTGGGGGCCCTTTCAGGATTGCACCAGGGATGCCTGTAGGCTGAAGCAAGCGTTGCCGTGGGCCCCTCGCAGCCAAAACATCTCAGCCCAACCCGCAACGCCTGCAGTACCTCGACGCCAACGCAACAAGCGGCCCAGGCTCCAATCGACGCAGATAATACTCGCGCCTGCTCTGCACCACTGACGACACGTACGGCTGACGAGGTGAATGTGCTAAGATTCCTGCTGCCGCAAAGCTTCACCTGGCTATACACAATGTTCCGACGTTCACGCGCGCGGCCAACCAACATCATCTGAGCAGCACTGCCCGGCACCCATACGAGGCTGTGAACCGCAAAGTCTCTGCAGGCTGCCCAGTAACCGCACCGGCACACACACACACGCATACCCAGCGTCCTCAACTCCTCTCCCCCTCCTTCATAAGACAACCGTTGCCGCAGCCATGGTCAAAGCCGATCCCACGCGAAACTACTATGCCGACCTGAAGGTCTCTGCCACCGCCACCGAAAACGAGATACGCAAGGCTTTCCGAACGCTTGCGCTGCAGTACCACCCGGATCGCAATCCTGGGCGCGAGGCCGAATTCGTTGTCAGGTTTCAAGAAATCCAGGCTGCACACGAGATACTATGTGATCCTACCCAACGAGCAAAGTATGACGCAGAGAGGAGGAAATACCGGAATGCCTCTGCCTCCGCAAACACGCCCAACACGCCGAGAACAAGACCGCCCCCCGCCCAGCGCAACACGTACACAACGAGTACCCCGAATGGGTCCTACTATCGCGCCCCTCCCCCGAGACCACAGGCACAGCGTCCCCCACCACCCCAACACCAAAACTCATATACCACGGGCGCAGACAGGTTTACAAACAAGAACTTCCGCCCGCCTCCAACCGCGCAAAAGCCAGACCCAAGGCCCAGAGATGCAGAAGCTCGGGCAAATGTATTTACAGCATGGCAGAAGATGAAGCAACCGCGGGGCGAGGACGCTCGACAACAAAGCAATAATGCCCACAGCAGCGCATACCCCAATCCTCCAAACAACCCCAACGGCACTCCTTTTGGCCGAAGTCAAAGCACAAGAGCGCCTTCTTCCAAGCAGGGATTTGACCCTTCGGTGCCTGGTGTCGATGAGGGACAGGCACGATCGTCGTATAGAAACTATGCTCGTCCAGCGCCAACGCCGCCCCACTCTACCACGCCTCCCAAAGAAAGCCAGGCTGACAACGTTCCGTACTCGGAAGCTAACCGCGTTCGCACCCCATACTACTCTCATGCTGGGGGAGAGCGAACATCCATGTTTGAGGGTATAGGTAGGTCAGCTAGTGTGCGCAATTCACCGACCTACACCCACAGGGCGAGCTCGTCACAAGATGCAGGCGCATACTCAGATTCAGGTCGCAAAGCACAAGCAAAAGCAAAAGCTGCAAACGGAACTGCAAACAAGCCATTTGCACACGGCTACTCCGACTCGAGCGACTCAGACTCTGAACCAGAGGTTTTCACAAAGAGCAATAAGCACCATGATGCTCCACCCGTGCCGCAACATTCGAGACCCCCTCCACCAACTTGGGCTCAGAGTGGCTTCATGACACCCGATCCAAAACGACAGAGTAATGGGGCTACGAGCCATATGCCAAACACCTTTAAGAGTAGGAGTGAAGAGAGCATCAATATGAAATTCTCGCCTTCGGACTGGCATGGCAAGTTCGAAGGCAGTAATAGTTATTTCGCTCCTGACATTCCAAAAGGTGCCAGCGGAAAAGGCCGAACCTCTCCCACACGTGGCAGAGCTTCACAGCGCAACGCGACAGATCGGAATCCATTCGCTGCTCAGCCCAACCCGTTCGCACCCACCCACCCGATACCCCCTCCCCCTCCTGGGCCACCACCTGGTCTCAACTTTGCTCAGCCTCCAGTAGCTCCTCATGCTGCAAAATTCAGTCCTCAGGACTGGCAAGAGACATTTAAAGATCCGCATTGGGTGTACAATGATGCCAAGGAAACCTCGCCGCGTCGGCCTTCAGAAGCTACAAAGCGGCCAAAGGCGCCGCGAAAGGCGTCTGTGCAGCAAAATGGAACCTCCAAGGCACAGAGCCAGTCAGATGCATCACGACCCAAGTACCAAGCTTTTGCCGAAGAGCCAACAAGTGGTGATGCGGACGCAATGGATATTGACTCTGGGCCACCATCGTCAGACAAAAAGGGCACAACAACCGGGCCTACGGTGCCAAAGCTGAATACAACTTTGCCAGGCACCACACCGAACGGATCTAGCACTGCACCACCTTCTACCACCACAGCCAAGCCGCCTGCTGAGGGACTGAATGGCCTCGGTCCAGATTTCATCAAACCACTTGTTGAGCCACAGAAGAATGGACTTGGCGGAATGGCATCTGTCGGAGACGCACTGCCCTTTTCTTCTGAGGCATCCAACTCTCATCCCATAAAGGCAAATGCAGCAAAGAGTCTCAAGTACCCTGAAATACCCCAGGCGCCTCCTGTCCCAGCCAAGTTAGATTTGGCCTCGATTGACCACTACTTTGAACGCATGGGCTCATATGTCAAGTCGTACCGAAACTACTGCAAAGTGCTCACTGGGCACTTTGCTGCACGGAGCGTGGAGATGGAGGATCTAGACGATCACTTCATTCGCAACCGTGGGGAGACGACCAAGAAGGTTGGCTTTGTGAGCTACCTGGCTAAGATGGAAGAAGACGAAAGCGTCATGGAGACATGGAAGGTTGCACAGGAACGGCATATTGTTGCGCTGCAACAGTGCGCAGATGTGCGCACAAAGGCTTTGAAGTTGTACCAGACCCTTCAGGCCTAAGATCAGCGCGCCTTCGCGTGTTTGGGTTTGCAGGTGTGCTGACGTGCGTCTAGAAATGGAGGGAATGCGCTCCAGAACAGCGTCCGAAGTGTAGCAGAAAGTTTGGAAACGCTGGCTGTTGATGAGACCCATATTACTGCACGAACGGACAGACAGCGTTGGATGTCTGGTTCGATGTTAGGAATGAGGATGCGCAGTCCTACCAGACTTGACAGAGGCATGGCGGGTTTGAATAGCAAGGGCGCCTCAAAATACCAGCCGCTTTTGTCGAGAAAGAAGAAGTATTACGGTTTTGGGTAGCGATGGCGTTTTCTCTTGTCTAGGCATTATGAACACCCTCCTGGTTGAAGCTGGGAATGATTGGAATGATGGTTGAATGGCACGCATGAGCAATGTCTAGTTAGTATACACATCGAATAGATAGAATACACGACACGTCTACGACTACTATTGATCGAGGGCTGCTTACAAGTGTAACGCAGTGACAGTATTTGTGGCTTTGAGTGGTGGGAGGACATGTTCCTTTATAAGCTAGCGCGGCCAAGATAGGACGTTGCATTTACCTCAAACCGTTGCGTGTCTAAAACACGCACCACTCTTGATCACTGCCACACCCGTGTGTTGTAGCTGCGAAACCTCAGGCAGCCGGGGTTTGACAACTGGCTTGAGGTGCAGAATGCTGGGAAAGGGAAGAGTTATACGCTTGTGATGGGTGTGGACGAAACATGGTTCCACTCTTTTCCCCTTTCTTAGTAGCTGATCAGTTATGTTTCAGCCGACACGGTTCGCTGATCCCCACGACGGTGAAAAAGTCGAGAAATGAGATTCTGGCGTACGTACGATTTCCGCATGAGATTACTGCGTATGGGGAGTTGCAAGGAAGGGTGCCACACTGAGATAAGCCCCGTTGCGGCGGTACTTGGTCAGTACCTTGCGTTACAATACATATGTCGTGGTTACTCGAGCGGGATGCTCGGAACCTGAATGGTTCTTCTTCCTTTTCCTTCTTCTTGTGTTGTTTCGACTTGCCAGGGCCTGAGAGCCCTTTCTTTTCCCAACCGATGATATTGAGGGCCCTTGGTCTCTACTAGGAGACTTCCCTGGCGGGCCAGTATGGTGGGTGATTTGCTTACAAAGGTCACATCACCCACGCCATCGCCAAAGGAGGTTGGCGGGGCGGCGATACAATGGGTGTGTACGAGGAGGGGGAGGATGGTGGTTATGATGGCTGTGTTGTTCTCGGTTTTTCTAGGGCTGACAGGCATGAAGCACCGTGAGGTATGCCGCTACCTACATCCAACATCTATGAAGCGGACGGTACACTAATAGTCTGGTAGGAATTGCCGTCAAGATACCGTGGCATGTCTTCATATTATCCCTGGAGAGCATATATTCCTACCCTGCCCGAATCCATAAGCTTGTCGTTCAAGACACCCTCGAATTTGACGTTACAGATTGAAAACGGCCAAATCGACCATGTACCGGCAAAACCTAAAAAGACGACGCCCAACTTCCACCTCGTCACGCCGTTTGAGTACGAGTCAAGCGACTTTTGCAAATCGGCGTTATCTGCCATGTTGCTCAACTACCCTCCACCGACTGTGGTACAGTTTAAGTCAGGCCATGCGACGAGCGAAAAGCGTCATGAGGCGATTCTCAACGACACGCTGCATTACTTGAGCAATACGAAGTTGGCCAAGGACAAGGATCTGGTGCTCATCGTTGATGCACAGCAGACGTGGTTCCAGCTTCCAAGCGATGTGATGATTGAGCAGTACAAGCGGTTGCTTGAGGATGGCAATTTACGGTTATTGAAGAGATATGGAACTGACGAGAATGGGTTTCAGAAGTTTAACCAGACGATCTTATTTGGGGCAGAGAAGATGTGCGAGGGCGATGACAAGGCGTGCAAATACGTGCCGTTGTCGCCATCTCCCAACAACTTGTACACCACCGAGACTGGCCGGCTGATATCAGAGACGCCTGCCAAGTTTATCAACGCCAGGATGGCCATGGGTCCGGCGAGCGATTTGAGAAGGTTGTATCAGGCTGCGCAGAAGAAGTTTCTGGACGGCAAGAGTCAGTCACTGACCGTTCAGTCCGTGTTCGCTACGCTGTTTGCAGAACAACAGTTGAGTCGCGATGCCGTCGAGGTGGAAACCAAATCTCCCAGCGCAAAATTCAGAAACTTCTTCGACGGCGGATCCAGGAAATCAGCAGCCCGACACCGACTAAACCAAGCAAAACTCGAACTCGAACTCTCCAACTTCACCAGACAAGAATTATCCATTGGCCTCGACTACACCCACACCCTCTTCCAACCCCTCCTTTACACTAACCCCCAACGAACTCATCCCCATCGTCCATAGCGAAAAAAACAACCTAACTACCTACACCCACTTCAACCGCGACCCATCCTACCTCACCCCTCCAGCCTCCCTCAACCATACAACCACGCCCTTCTCGCCCCCAGACCCCGTAAAACCCAGTCTCTCCGCGCATACCCACTCGGCACACATCAGAAACCTCGACTACGACCCCAAAATCGACACCTTACCCGACCGCAACGTCGCCTGGACCGACGTCCCTCTAGTTCAAAATACCTACACGGGCGCCATCCCCGCTGCCTTGGCTGCACAGTTAGCTCGCGAACCCAACCTCGCCCCGTCGAAGATAACCTGGGATTCACTTTGGTACGCAGACTACCGGCGCGCATTGCTCCGTGTCTACTTCCGCGCACCGCAGTCGGCAGTAGGCTACCATGAGTCTGCCGTTGGCGGGGATCGCATGTGGGATGCGCGCGGGGGACGGGGCGGAGTGTGGACAGCGGTGGAGCAGAGCTGGTTTGCTTGGGGCGAGGCGGATGGGGTGTGTGGCGCGGTGGAGGATATGAAGGGCGTGTTTGGGGGTGCCAAGGGGGTATGGTTGCAT